ATCATTTTCTTGATTTTTTTTTACGTTAGAACCATGGATAAGGCTGATATCGAAGCAAACAACTAATTCAGAAACTAGTGGAACTCTACAAGTGTATCACAACAACGAATGGGGTTATGTTTGTGAAAGTGGATTTGATGAGGATGACGCTGTAGTAGCCTGTCGTGAACTGGGATTGCCAACGTAAGAGATCTTTCACATGTGTTTTGTTTTAATATACATTTATTATATATTACATATATATATATTATTAAAATGTTTAAAAAATTGATCTAAAATGATATAAACGTTGAAAAAAGAATGCTACCCTTACAAAAATTATGCAACATTTAAAAACATTACTATAGTAAAAATATATTTTGATTCACAAAGAGTAAGTAAAGTAAATTACATTAGCCTTGGCATTTTCACTTGATGAACAATCAAAAATGACTGATATTGAATTGCATATTGAGTCTTTGACGTTCTTGTCTAAGCCTCAGTTTTTTGTAATAATTTTCTGTTAAAACAGGAAATACGTGCAAGAAAAATCTGGAAGTACATATTTAAGTGCTAAAACGCACCTGAAATATGTCAATTGTAACGGTGATGAGGAAACTCTGTCCGATTGCGCTGCTGACAATGGGAGCTATTGTTCAAGTTATAGAAACACCAGGGTTAAGCTCTTCTGTGATAGTGGTAAGGCACAATTCAACAAATAAGTACCTTCATCATAAGCAACTAAAGTAGAAAAAAATCATTCGATTATGAATTGCTAAATATACTCCTGATTTTTCTTATGGTTGTTTTTTAAAGTTCGATCTCAAAGCTGATTTTCTTTAAAAGAAAATATGTTGCAAAACGCACTCTTAACATGGATGCAGTTAGTTTATTTAACAATGGATTTACCTTTTTATTGCTACATATAATTTGTAACTAGTAATTTTTTACTCATCCCACTGTTATTAAATGAATAGGGAGAGTATAATTTTTGGTTGTTCCTGGAAAGTACTACATTTAACTGAAAATATTTTATGACATATTGGAATCAGAAGTTTTTATAATGAAAACAATGTCCATTGATGGAACTAAAAGTTACCCAAGACATACCATTCAAACATATTTACAAAAAAAAAAAAATGATTTATTATTATGTCGCCCTGAACGAAGTCGGGCTACATATTGCGATTGTACGCGTGTTTTATTTCTCCAGACAGTTTCTAGGAGATGGCTGTTACAGTTTTCCTGAAACTTTCCTCGAAGGAGGATCCCTGATTGTAGTTGTGTTGTGTGGTCATTCAGTTTCAAAATGGCTACCGTTGCCATGGAAACCTGCAAAAAGCGACGAATTTTGCTTGCGAGTGTTCTCTCTGGTTCCTTGAACATTCTTCATGAAAGTAATGATTAGTATCTGTAATTGTGCTCATTGGATTTAAGAATTGCAAATTGTCAATAGTTTCCATGGATACAGGGGAAAAAAGAAAATTCTTTAACTTTGATTTTTAAATCAAAGTACTGAAAGGACTGATACGAGTTGATGGTTGTCCAAGCTTAGCTAATGGGTTTTATTTTAGTGATGAAAAAATGATAGTCTTGTCCATTTCGGGGCGACATACGCTATTGCTTGCAATAGCGGACTTTCTAGTTGTTATTATTTTAATTCTTCTGTATAGGTAATTGTCGATACCTCGAAGTCCGCGGGACCGAGAAAAAACTTCAAGAGATCAAGACTCCGAGATTTCAAGAGTCCGGAATTTTCCGGGTTTGTTGACCGGTTTTGAAATTAGTCTTACCGGATGTAATTAGTAATGTAGTGCTAACCTTTTACACGTGGTGTTTACACAACGGTGTGTTTTTGTATTGCAGATAAATTTTTATTAAATTGAGAACATAAAACATGTACATCGTCACTTCATGTTTATTTATTTATTCTTTTTAATACGAACGTCAAACTACGTATCGTTAAATGAAAACGACATTTTACCGCGTGGTACATAGCATTGACTACTTCAAACATGATAATTAAACGTTGAACGAAGTTCTGTAAGTATTTGTGCAACAACAGTCATCATATTGACAGTGAGGTTGTTTCTGCATTATTATATATCGTTCCTTTGACACTGACTCGAAATAAAAATTAAACTATTTAGTTTTTCGCCTTGTATTCAATATACTATTTTTCATTGACACCGCTTCTCTGAATTATCGTAAGACAGTAGATGATAATTATTCTATTATCATATAGGCAACATATGATTAATTATAAATCAATTATCTCCTAGCAGTATATACATGTAAGTGTCACCTGAATAAACATCCCGTTTCTCGAGACCCGCGTCTTCAGCATGGGGCCATTTAAATGTCCAGGTAAACTCGCTAATTATGTAACATTGTATACACACAGCCACTTCGAGGTTTCAAGGGTAATTTCCAATAGATTATGCAGGGCGGGACTGCATTTTGAATTCGATGGATCAAGGGTTTCGAGAGATCAAGGGTTCGAGAAATCAAGAGTTACCTGTAATAAAATACAATTTCATAATACGCGCTTTCTCAAAAAAGAAGACTTTTCAACGTCATTTTTCTTCATTATCTGTTCTTAACTTATTTTATAATTGTTCAAGAAAGTAAATGTTTTTAGAATGCCCTCGCATGAAGTATGGTGACAATTGTCAAGAAGACTGCCCGTGTAACAGCTATAATACAGAATCCTGCGATATGGAGACTGGGGAATGTGTTTGTAAGCCGGGATATACCGGGTTCTCCTGCAACTGCCAAGTTGGTCTTCATTCCTGTAACTTAACCGTTTCTGATTGCTACGAGGAATCGAGTGAAGTATTCTGTATTTGCAAAAAAGGTTTTACGAAATCAGAGCACAATTGCACAGGTAAGGAAAATGTTATTCTCCTTGCTTAAGATGTTAAAATGTGCTTTATGTATCTAAATATGTTCTTTAAAAGTATTGTCATCCACGTTATCTAGATAAGTTTTTGAAACGTTTTATTCAATTGTGATAATTTATATTCCAATTTCCATGCCCTACCTTTATGTTATTTATGTATAACTTATTTACATGTACGGCTAAATTTATTTTGAGTTTTGATTTTTGGCTAAAAAAATAACAAAGTTGCGGAAAACAATAGGTTTAAAATTTTCATTCTTAGCAAATGAAAGGCATAAATAATGCTTATAAAATTAAAGAGCAAGTAAAATGTAAATATTTTTTTGGTCACAGACAATGTGCGCTTAAGTCAGGAAAATTTCGTGCAAGTCTTCAAAGGTGATGGATGGACTGGTATTTGTAATAACAACCTGAAGTCTAATGCTTTAGTTACCTGCCGCCATCTTAACCTTAGCACGTACGTATCGTGGAGTTTTACTATTATTTACTTTTTAAATACAATTATAAAAGACAGACAAATCATTTGTAAAAACATTTATTTTAAATCAAAATTACATAATCGCCGTTAACGTGTAAATGCATTGTGCCTAAAGTTTCACTTGAATGGAAGTGAAGCTAACCCGAGACCTGGTGAACAGAACGAACTTTCGCAAGTGCCCGCCAAAGTTCCTTGTAATAATTCCAATAAAAATATTCGCAGGCAATCGCTCTATTGAACAGAGGCCTGAATTGTCAACAATGAGGACGTCGGGTAACTTCTGCTTGTCAAGATCGTTATATGTTTTCGCATGTGAGAAATCTTGACTTAAGGGTTTATTGTTTGATTAATAAGGCCGTTCCGTTTATTTCATTAGTAATTCAGCCTTTATCCATTTATTATGATCAAAAAAATTATATTAATTAATATTTTAGCTCACCTGAGCCGAAAGCTCAAGTGATCTTTTCTGATCACATTTTGTCCGTCGTCCGTCCGTCCGTCGTCCGTCCGTCCGTCCGTCTGTCCGTCTGTCTGTCCGTCTGTAAACTTTTCACATTTTCGACTTCTTCTCAAGAACCACTGGGCCAATTTTGACCAAACTTGGTACAAAGCATCCTTGGGTAAAGGGGAATTTAAATTGTTAAAATGAAGGGACATCCTCCCCTCGCAAGGGGAGATAATCTAGAAAAGACAAAAATAGGGTTGGGTCATTAAAAAATCTTCTTCTCAAGAACCACTGGGCCAGTAAAGATGAAACTTATGTGGAAGCATCCTGGGGTAGTGTAGATTCTACATTGTTCACATCATGACCCCCGGGGGAAGGGCGGGGACACAATGGGGAATCAAAGTTTTACATAGAAATATATAGGAAAAATCTTTGAAAATCTTCTTCTCAAGAACCACTGGGCCAGAAAAGCTGAAACTTATGTGGAAGCATCCTGGTATAGTGTTGATTCTATATTGTTCACATCATGACCCCCGGGGGAAGGGCGGGGCCACAATGGCCGATCAAAGTTTTACATAGAAATATATAGGAAAAATCTTTGAAAATCTTCTTCTCAAGAACCACTGGGCCAGAAAAGCTGAAACTTATGTGGAAAGATTCTGGTATAATGTAGATTCTAAATTATTCAAATCATGACCCCCGGGGGAAGGGCGGGGCCACAATGTTGAATCAAAGTTTTATATAGAAATATATATAGGAAAAATCTTTGAAAATCTTCTTCTTAAGAACCACTGGGCCAAAAAAGCTGAAACTTATGTGGAAAGATTCTGGTATAATGTAGATTCTAAATTGTTCAAATCATGACGCCCGGGGGAAGGGCGGGGCCACAATGGGGAATCAAAGTTTTACATAGAAATATATTCGAAAAATCTTTGAAAATCTTCTTCTCGGGAACCACTGGGCCAAAAATGCTGAAACATATGTGCCCATGGAAGGATCATGGGGTAGTGTAGATTTCAAAATGTCTAAATTATGATCAGTGGGGTAGGGTGGGGATGCATTATGTATAACATGGGGGGAAACTGGTAAAGAACAGAATGGTCAAAGCTTCTCAGGTGAGCTATGTGGCCCATGGGCCTCTTGTTTTACACACATATTTATTGTTTGACGATAAAATCTTGATATGATTTCCAGTTATATTGTGTGTTTGTTGTTATATTTAGCAATTGTCTCTCTTTATTGTCAAAGATCTAATATATATTGAACGCTTCTTATCATTTAATGGAAAATGTTATTCTTTCAGGGAAGTTGTATATTCAACTTCAAAGTATAGAAGATATGGATACACCGAGAAGTCGGTCAGTTGTAGAGGAACAGAGAACATATTGTCGGATTGTCCTTCTAGAACGGGCTCCTCTTGCTCCTACACCCCAGTCGTCCACTGTGGCGGTCAGTCTCTAATTATGTTCCCCAAACGAAGTTTGGGAACATATTGTTTTTACTTTTTTTCTGAATTTTCTTCTCCGGTACTTTTTTTGTCCGCGAGTGTTCTCGTAAACTACTCATCCGATCTAGGTGAAACCTTTTTAGGGTCACTAGGTATGTTATGTAGATGTGTGTAACGCGTGAAATGACCAATATGATAGATATAGCCGTAACCTTTTAATTTTTTGATGAAATGCTTTGAAACTCATAATATAAGGATATAATAGTAGTATAGACACGATGACATGGTCAAAATAGCAAGATCTCACGCGCATGCACGTGTGCTTCGTTCCGATTGGTTGAAACAAAAGTCTTTATATCTTTTTTGTTCTCTGACAAAATCCTTTGAAATTTTGAACATAGTCATACATTATGAAGATCTACAGCATGATATATAAGAATAATCATGAACGCACGCACATGCACGTTAGCTGCAATCTGATTGGCTAAAAGTTTAAATGCCTAAATCTTTCTTAGTTCTCAATAATACAGGGTGAAATTTCGAATATGAATATATATAATGAATGCCTACATTATTCTACCATCAAAAGTAAATGCAAGGACGTCATGCACATGCGCGCACACACAATGCGTTAAACGACAGTATACTTAAGTCTTTTGATGTTCATGCAGAATTAAGAACTTCTAAATGTAAAGACATGTAACATACTGAAGCAGATCTTTTTACCCTTGACCTTGATAATGAGGTCAAGGTCACTAGTAACCTGAATAAATTGTTGATATTAGCTATTTACCAAAATGACCTTGACCTATGAACTTGAGATCGACCTTAACCTTTGACCTTAACCCAAGGGTAGAAAGAAACCCCCCACCCCTCACATAAAGTAGAGAATCGCTGTAAAGCTCAAATTACACCTTGGACCCACGTAACATTTCAAGGAAACTGCAGAAAAGAGCTCGAGGAAAGAGTATTAATATATTTGATGTGAGTTTCCAAAGGATATAGAAATTATTAATTTAATTAATTTCAAATCCTGTCGTGTTTGAAATTAAAGTACAGATGAACAAAGTTGGTATATAAGCCTTCTATGTTTACATGTATTTATTCGGATGTCGTTAATAGCATTCAATTCTACTGATTTGAAACAATATTTTCATACTAAGCATCCTTTGTTTATTTAACCTTTGAAATTTAATTGATTTTTTTTTAGAATTACGCAATTCCCAGAAATTCAAAATCAATATACATGTACGCTCCTTCGTAAAAAATATATATATTTGCATTCATAAAAAATATATTAATAAGAAGGTCTTAAAGAATATTGGTCACATTAGCTGATACGAATGTCTTTATAAATATCTATTGTAAACCCCAGAAAGTAGCCTCCTATGCATTGGAAAAAATGATTGTTCCGGTCAAAAACCTTAACATGTATATATTTATTTACATAGTATATAAAATTTACTAGGCATGGGTACCAGAGTTGTCAAAATGACCAGAGAGGAAATATATTTAAATAAATCTGAACAGATTAAAGGAAAATCCCTTTTCTATGTATGGAACTAAATCTTACTAAGTTCATTTTGATTGGTTAGCCATCGGCGTGATATCCTTAGTCGATTTCAACACTGCCTTGTCGTAGGAATAAAACCAACTTTGAGCCCGAGGTTAAAATCAGTAGAGAATTTAAATGTGAATAGGTATTTCAAAAAATGATATATACTTGAAATGTGGTAACTTTATATCTGTATTTTTTCTATTATTCGCGGGATAGAAAGATGTGTTAATCGCTTAACCAACATGCCATGATCATTTTGCATATGCATGTACATGTACGTGTGTGCCAATGCAAAACGTTAAACGATATATAGTTGATATCATTGTAAATTTTATATCTTTAAATGAAATCCTTAAGTGCTTAGTATATTTATAAAAGGTGTTACAAGAAAAGCTATGGCACGAAAAGGGACATGGGGAGCGTTTGGGGAACATCTGTAACGGTCCCCGTTACAATTAGCCATAGTTCTATATCGGGAGTATTAAGAGGTTATTTTGCTCTGCAAAAACCTTGTATGGTTAAATAGATTTGAATTAGTCTTGATCTTTCATACCACTTCTTTTTTATGGGACATACAAGAACTTTTATTTGCACCATGCAAGAAGCGTTTCCTTTTCATTCAATTTAAGATTTTTCCAAAAAGTGAATTGGTCATAAATATATGATACATGGAAATCCCTGTCGTCAGTTGACCTTATTTATCGTGTTCAATTTCAGAGTGCCCAGAGTGGAGATATTCAGCAGACTGTTCCGAGACATGTGAATGTGACAGAGAAACAAGTACAGGGTGTGATTTCAGAGACGGGACCTGTTCTTGTCGTGACGGTTTTAAAGGGGAGGACTGTAGTTGTCACGTATCTACAGCTCCTTGCTCGGGATCGTCCTCTAAATGTAAACTTGACAGGTGTATCTGCAAAGAAGGATCTTTTAATCAGTCAGCATCATGCTTAGGTAATTAGAATTATATGTTGACATTGAAATGTAAAGTACTTAAATCCAACGCATAGCAAGTCACATATAATAAACTAAGTGCCCATCTTTAAAACCTTTTGATGTATGACCTTCAGATCATTAACTGCATTTTGAAGAGTTACATACATGTAGATAAATCTTTCATTTTTTCTGTTCAATCTGTGAAAGTCTTCTGATTTCCTTCAATCGTAGCTAAACAGAAGAAAAATGCACCTATCTACCAATATGGTCAATTTTTTAAAAGTACCGTATAAATTATAATTTTTTCCAGCCAAGAATAGCTAGGAATTAACAATGTGCCAAATCGTTGCTATATTTTTGCATAAGTAGCTTGTTCCTGATTCGCGGTGTTTAAAGAATAACCTTGTTGCATTCATAAACTCGAATAATTTTTTCACTTGATTTGATGAAAGAAAATTATATGTACAAAAGTTATCATTTCCAAATGCATTCAATTTGATTCACGTATTATAAAATTTCATATTAAAAAAAAATTAATTCTAACTGAAAAAAGTAATATCAAAATTATTCTTATTGTATTTATTAATTTTAATTAAATTTTTGGCGAAATTTGAAAGTGTTTATCACACAAGTTACGACTAGTACTACCTGAATGGGAAATGGTCATTTTTGGAAGAAATTGTGATATTCTGGCTATTGATAAGGTCGTGGAGCTTTTGATTAAGATGCTTGTATTCTTTTTTTCTCTCCTCAAGTTGATTTTGAATGTTAGAAAACAAGCATTCAATTGATTAGAAAGAGAAGATAGATATGCCTTTCCTGCAATGATGATTTAATGTAATGTAACACAGTTATTTCCGGAAGGAATTGTGATATTCTGATGATTGATATGGCCCTAAAGCTTTTGATATGGTGTTTGTTTTTTTTCTCTCCTCAAGTTGATTTTGAATGTTAGAAAACAAGCATTCAGATGATCAGAAAATAAAGATACATATGCCTTTCTTGCCTTTTTGATTTAATGTCATGTAGCACTGTTACTTCAGCTCATAGTATCACAATATTGTCACTTATGAAATAATACAAATTTTCATCATTTGTTGCGATTTTTTCCTTTATTTTTCCCTCCCTCCTCTATCTGTTGCCTAATTTTATTTTAAATATTGATGCTTAAATTTACTTTGATTTTTTTTTAGATTTTGCTGATGTCATTTACTTTTGCTCTTTTGAAAAGTATTCATGGAAAAGTACGTGTAGCATTGAAACAACAAATACACGTTTGTACCGAAACTCTGTAAGTGCATTTCAACTGTTTATAGAATCGTGATATATAATAACTGATATTATTAATTATCATGAAAATGTGTATTTGCTTTCCCAAAAATAAAGAAAAATGCTATTCTAAAGTACCAATTTTAAACAAACTTACAGCAAAGCATAACAGTTTGAAGGTTTTTTTTTCTAATGGAAGGAATATCTGTTTTTCAGTATGACGAAAATAATTGAATCATAAAACTATACCATTGGTACAGAAAATTTACGAATATATTGGGGAAAATATCCTAAAATATCAAAATTATACATGGACACAACGAATATTTTTAAAGATCAAAAGTCCATAAAACAATACAAAATAGGACAAGTGCAATCACGGACCTCCAAAACATCTAAGTCGGGATTAGGTGTGGAGGAGTGAGAATCCTATACATAATCACATTTATAAAGAAGCTTATACTCATAGAATAGATTCAGTTTTGTTCCAGTCGTGATCCGCCGTGTTAGGTTCAGACATATTAGATTATTTAGTATCAAATATACTGTATACATGTACAAATGAATAAGAAGTAATCAAACTTTTCCTCAAGAACAATAATAAAGGAATAATTGTCTTTTTGGTTTCATGGTGTGATCAATCGAATGACTTGTGAGTGACTTGCGTAAATAATTTGCATGTTGAAAAGTAATCATATACTTTAATTATTTTTAACTGTTTCATTCCGTTATTTAAACAGGTAAGTGGCCTATCAATGTTAAGCCGAATGTAAAATTTTAATCTAAACTGGGTTTTTTTCTTTTAAGATCTTATGCATCTTTTTATACTCTCTTTGTTTTTATTATTCACTCCCATACATCTAGCCCCTTTGTTAATTTGTTTAGTAAGTTGCAGGAAGACGATTCTAAAAATTGATTAAAACATCCTAAAATCTGAACATTTGCTAAGTCAAAATTGCACATAAATTTGATCAAAGGTATAACTGTTTTTTTTTTACTGTTGTAGGAAGGAGGAATTTTAAGATTACCGACGGTAAAATAGCTTTTGTAGACACTAACTGGTTCTGGGATAACTTATAAAGATTTTTTTGGGGAAAAAATATTAACTTATATTATATATGAATTCGTATCTTATTTGAATTTAAAGGCACGATTTGCAGTGTTCTTAGTAGATATAATTCAAGTGCAATCAGATGAATGTTATGCTTATTTTTAATTTTATAAAAACAACAACACCAAAAACAAAAAACAAAAAACAAAACACTCGAAACGAATAAAGCTAAAGAAGATAAATTTTTTGTATTCAAAATGACACATATATTTGATAAAATGTTGATGTTTTCACTGTTTTAGAGCAGAAGAATATTTGTCAGACCATGGGTAAAAAAACGTTTAAATTAAATAGCCCATCTTGATTTACCGATTAAATATTTTTAAATCATAAACAAAAGTTAAAGTAATAAAATATTTGTATATTAAAGAAGTCAACTAATTTTTAAAGTAGGGTGCTAATTCATAATGTAAAAATAATTTAATTAATTATTTTTTTGGCTAATTAGCTCACCTCAACGAAGTTGGGGGGAGCTTATGTGATACCCTCGGCGTCGGCGTCGGTGTCGGCGTCGGCGTCGGCGTCCCGGGTTAAGGTTAAGTTTTTTGGAGCAGTTTTCTTTTTAAGTACTTCTATGTCTTATATTGATTAGACATGCATGGAAGATGTTGCTAGTGTGTTTCATTGTACCAGTCAAAGTTTCAGATGCTGCAATTTCAGCAAAGGAATGACCAGGTTAATGTTTTTGGTGCAGGTTAACATTTTTGGTGCAGTTTTTGGTGTAGGTCTCATTTCCGAGTAACTATAAGCTCTATGTTGACCAAACTTACATGGATGATACATCTTAGGATGCATACTACCAGCCTTGCTTCGGATGCTGAATCTGACCTACATTTTCCGGTTGAGTGAACAGGTTAAAGTTTTTGGTGAAGGTTTCATTTCAAAGATACTTTGAGCCCTATAATGACCAAACTTGCATGGATGGTACATCTCAGGATGTATTCTACTAGACTTGCTTCGGATGCTGAATCTGACCTACATTTTCCGGTTGAGTGAACAGGTTAAAGTTTTTGGTGCAGGTTTCATTTCCAAGTTCCTATGAGACATATAATGACCAAACTTACATGGATGATACATCTTAGGATGCATACTACCAGCCTTGCTTCGGATGCTGAATCTGACCTACATTTTCCGGTTGAGTGAACAGGTTAAAGTTTTTGGTGAAGGTTTCATTTCGAAGATACTTTGAGCCCTATAATGACCAAACTTGCATGGATGGTACATCTTAGGATGTATTCTACTAGACTTGCTTCGGATGCTGAATCTGACCTACATTTTCCTGTTGAGTGAACAGGTTAAAGTTTTTGGTGCAGGTTTCATTTCCAAGTTTCTATGAGACATATAATGACCAAACTTACATGGATGATACATCTTAGGATGCATACTACCAGCCTTGCTTCGGATGCTGAATCTGACCTACATTTTCCGGTTGAGTGAACAGGTTAAAGTTTTTGGTGAAGGTTTCATTTCGAAGATACTTTGAGCCCTATAATGACCAAACTTGCATGGATGGTACATCTTAGGATGTATTCTACTAGACTTGCTTCGGATGCTGAATCTGACCTACATTTTCCGGTTGAGTGAACAGGTTAAAGTTTTTGGTGCAGGTTTCATTTCCAAGTTCCTATGAGACATATAATGACCAAACTTACATGGATGATACATCTTAGGATGCATACTACCAGCCTTGCTTCGGATGCTGAATCTGACCTACATTTTCCGGTTGAGTGAACAGGTTAAAGTTTTTGGTGAAGGTTTCATTTCGAAGATACTTTGAGCCCTATAATGACCAAACTTGCATGGATGGTACATCTTAGGATGTATTCTACTAGACTTGCTTCGGATGCTGAATCTGACCTACATTTTCCGGTTGAGTGAACAGGTTAAAGTTTTTGGTGCAGGTTTCATTTCCAAGTTCCTATGAGACATATAATGACCAAACTTACATGGATGATACATCTTAGGATGCATACTACCAGCCTTGCTTCGGATGCTGAATCTGACCTACATTTTCCGGTTGAGTGAACAGGTTAAAGTTTTTGGTGAAGGTTTCATTTCGAAGATACTTTGAGCCCTATAATGACCAAACTTGCATGGATGGTACATCTTAGGATGTATTCTACTAGACTTGCTTCGGATGCTGAATCTGACCTACATTTTCCGGTTGAGTGAACAGGTTAAAGTTTTTGGTGCAGGTTTCATTTCCAAGTTCCTATGAGACATATAATGACCAAACTTACATGGATGATACATCTTAGGATGCATACTACCAGCCTTGCTTCGGATGCTGAATCTGACCTACATTTTCCAGTTGAGTGAACAGGTTAAAGTTTTTGGTGAAGGTTTCATTTTCAAGGTGCAGTGTACTATGAACCCTATAATGACTAAATTGCATGGATGGTACATCTTAGGATGCATACTACCAGACTTGCTTCGGATGCTGAATCTGACCTACATTTTCTGGACGAGTAAACAGGTTAAAGTTTATGGTGCAGGTTTCATTTCCAAGTAACTTTGAGCCCTATAATGACCAAACTTGCATGGATGGTACATCTTAGGATGCACACTAATGGACTTGCTTCAGATGCTGAATTCGACATACATTTTCCAGATAATAGACCTCGTAAAAGTTATGGGTGCAAGTCTATCACCAAGAAACTATAAGGCTTATATAAACCAGTTGCACAAATGATGCATCAAGGGATGAAAACTCTCAATCTTTCTTCAGATGCTGGATTTTAATTACATTTTCATGATGAAGAACTGGTTTTTAGTTTTTATATAGGTCTATTCCAAAGTATCAAAATTGCATAAATTTTGCATTTTAGGATGTATACTTTTTGTTGGTTAATTGTGTGACTTAATTTGCCTTACTTAAAGACAACACACGTTGAGGTGAGCTCTGTAATCTCTGATTACCTATGTTTTTCAATTTTGTCTTAACCTTGTTATGTTACAGTAGATAAATTACAGAAAACTTACTAATGATTGAATTACGGTAAATTAAATTCCAATTAATAGAAAATATGAAGAAAATAACTATATATTGTTCTCACTGTTTTAGGGCAGATGGATTCTTGTAGACACAAGGGTAAAAAGATTTTAAAGATGTTAACTGGTTTTGGATTACTAAGGGAAAAATATGTTTTAAAAATTAACATGATTTTTATATTTTAAAACTATTATAATTTAAAACCATTCAAATTCGCATCGCAGAAAAGATAAAATTTAATGCAATTTGTTTTACTTTGTTAATATTTTTGTCTTGATGTTTTCTTTTTTTTCTCTCTTTGTTCACTCTTCTAGCTTATGAAATATATGCCATATACAGGTGCACTGTAGGCACGTAGGTGTAATTTTTAGTAAAACAGAAATTTAGCGATTTAGTCTTAAAAAGCTTCTTAGCGATAAGTGCCTTAGAAACAGCACCTTTCAATGTAGAATAATGGCTAATGATATAACCAATTTTAATGCTGCATCAAGTTTGTTAAAGTGTCGAAATTGTATTTATACTAATTAATTTATTTATATGGTAATTGTAAAACTTACAAAAATTATACGATTTCATTAGATATACCACCACTTTTTTACATTCACTCATAGGATTTTGTACATGTTAGCCCCCTATTTTGTTTTCACTCCTCTCAACATCTTTTCAAAATTGAAAAAAAAAGTAATAGTTATAATATTGTTTTTTTTCTCCATTTTTGATAATGGTTTTTTTTCATTTTTTCTCGTCAAATGCAACCGTCTTTGTATCCGTTCATTTTAAAGCAAACTTTTGCTTTGCCTTAATACAGAAAGAGTGCAGTTCATGTAACTTCTGTATTTTCTGAACATTAATATTACACTAAGGCGCATGATGATAGAAGTATTTCTCATCTGTTCGACTGCTTTCCTTGTTAAAGAGA